TGCTCCTCTCGCCCTCCTTAATTTGACTATCCTAAACCACTTGTATTTCAATGCTCCAATGAGCAAAAGTGCCCTTCGTTCGTACTGTACTACAAAAGCAAATATTTGTGCCTCTAGTATTATCAATAAAGGCGGCAAGAAATCGAAATATTAAATCGGAGTGGTCTTAAAGTTGGGTAAAAAATTCAATAAACTTGAAATGATCTCTGTGAAATTTGGTTACAAGAAAGGAATTATTCAAGTCCCCTAATTCTTGTAGGGAGGGTTTATTAGTTGCTTTGTCAGAATGCTTTAATTTGTTCCCTTCCTTTCTCTATAGTTAACTAAAATATAATTTAAATTGCATTTACTTAAACTACAAGCCTGTAAAGGTGAAGCAGACAGCGTAAACAATCAATGATTGCTAGACCAATGGGACTTGACTTATGCTCACTTATCTCTATTACACGTTCTCCTTGTTTGGAAAGGCTCCCAGGAGTGAATTACCACAAAGCTAAAGAGAAAACAGACCCACGACGTGGAATAAGTTTATTTTGGTTGTATGTCACTGACACGGAGTTTAGTCATTGCAATATATCTATGTATATTGGAAGGCTTGTTAAGCCAAGCAGAGACTATTGATTGGCCGTTGGCTGTGCTTTCCGCGCTCACGCCGCACTCACTCCCTACGAGAAGTGGCACGTCTGCCCCTCCTAGTCTGTCTGAGTGGGCATGAGATTCTTTTGTTCAGCGATGACAGTGTTGTGTGCTCCACAACTCCAGAAATTTTAAGAAATTATACTAGATGTTCAAATAGTGGTAGCGTTCTGTCAAAGGACTCAATGGTCTTTGAGTCTTATCATTATCAACAATTATTTTAATTTAATCAATAAAATTATCATTAATTGGGATTTGGGATCAGATGTGATTTCTCATATCAGCATTGAAAATATGAAGAATATATTGTACGGTTGGTAATTATTAAAGGTGAAAAGACGCAATTCCCCAAGTTTTCCCAGTAATTTCATCTAGTCAATCTTTACACCACTTGTTTGCCATCACTGTCCCGACAGTATGCAAGATTTTGTTGAAGTTTCACATAACTAATCCAAGTTCAATTAAAGGAATCCCATGAGCTCAAGATTATTCCGGATAATGCTGATTTGCTACTGATTGCGTGACGTGAGTGGAGAGACATCCCAAACAATTCAGTAATCAGCACTACTTGACGTAGATAAGCTAATTTCAGGAGAAATTTGCCAGAGAGTGTTACCAAGTTTCAGTTACATCTTTTTCATATGGTATACACTACGCCGTCTTTTAACCTTGTCAATATATATATTTGAAATTTATGCAATTTATTGATTTATTAAAGTGTTTCAATTTTACTTCCATGTTATGTCAAATTGTTTCGACGAAAACCTCTCATAAAGGCACCCTTTTGAAAATCGGTGTAATAGAGTTACTGTCGTTCTCTAAATAATATTGAACCGTTTAGATATAATACTTGAAATCCAGGTTCATTGGCGTTAAAATGTTCTTGATATTCCAGGTCTGGCTGACCAGTTTATTTAATTTCGTAGTTTGCCAATCCACCAATCTTATTTGTATCGGCATTTACATATTTTGTTCTAACGGAGATCACAAAAGTTTACTACTGATGAACTCAACTTATTCTGTTTTTCTAAATATCGAAATATAATTGCCAAATAAACTGAAAATTTAATTGCCAATAGAGTAATCATATTAACAGCTTTATAGGCTTTGATTAAAGAGATTCCAAATGCATAATATCAAGACGAATCTAGCTGTCTTTAGCTCGCCTTTAACCTTCATTTTTCTCGCAGGCTTAGTTGAAAGAAGTTAACTTGTTTCCTATTTATTTAAAGAAAAAATTGGAAGATTTCTTTACGGAACTGAAATCAGTTGAAGATCAAATGTAAGTGACCAAAGGAATTATCAAAAGGGGACATTTGAGAACCTCTCATAAAGAGTATAGCTTAGATTTCGCTAACTTAAGCAATTAAGCACATTGATATTGCCTAAATATTTGTTAGCCCGATGGATAGTAGCCATCATAGGAAAAATAGGATGATATTAAGTGTCGATCCTGCGATAAATAAATGCCACTTCCTTAGCTTTTTAAATACCAGCCATACTTTAGACAAAGTTCCAACGATGACCTAAGACAAGTGCTTTGTCGACTAAAGTGTGGATTTGGAAGTTTCCGCAGGACAGAAGGTGAGCAAGTAGTTGAAAAAAGTCATTGATTACTAAATGAAGTTTTAAAATACATCAAATTGTATAAGCATAACTATATGATAAAACTTGTAGCGGACGTAAGGTGATGATCATTCGAGCAGAAAGGAATCACCGAGTGAATTGAGGGATGAGGAGAGAAAATCCCGATGCCAGTGAGAGATTGGTTCTCTGCTGAGCAATTAAAGTCAGACTTTGACAATCACGTCAGAGTCACCAATTTGTAGCGGATTGCTACCTTAGTAAAGCCTGACCGACTCAGAAATCTCTATGGCAGATTGTCAAACATCTAGCTAGACTCCCAGAGCCAGCTAAGCTATAGCCCAGCTATAAAGGAAACAGACGTGTAGCACGGAGCACGTTCATTCAGTGGGTATATCGCGGATAAAGTGTACACGCAGGGAGCTACTCATGATCAGAATGGGGGATTAGGTTAAACAGAGGTTAATGATTGGTCACTCTTTGTACGGTCGCACCTCCCAATCCTGGCGTACAGGCATGGGAGACGTGTCCCACTAACTTAGGTTACTTAAATAGGGGGAAATGAACAAAACACAGGAAAAGCTAAATAAATGTAATCATTAAATAAAAAAGTTAATGTTTATATATGATTTTAGGTGAAATTTTATTAAAGAAAAAAATTCTGAATGTTATTACATATTATATTCATTTTAATTCATTAACGCAGTCAGCATTATGGAACATGGACAATTGAAGGCTAATCTGATATATATATATATTGATTGAATTTTATACGNCCCCCTCCCCTTCCCCAAATGTATTAAATATTTTATAATCATACAAATTCCCTAAAACCGGCATGGAGATTCTGCTGTAAAATGATTTTTGAATAGCAACTTCATCATACGACTAGACAATGCATTTCATGGTGCATAGTCGGAGGACACTGGTCCCATGTTAAGTTAGAGGAGCGGCCAATCGTAGGGGCTCAATTTGGCTACTAAGGGAAGCAGTAAAATTCCGATCAGGGAGTCTCAACGACACCACTCTGCGCATGATGAGTGCTCCACATAATGAATAGGAAGATAGAAGATCAGCCTGAAAACTGATAAGGCGAAATAGATATTGAATACTGCATGAGGAGTAATAAGCTTCGAAGTTAGTGAACTAGAGCTACAATCAGTTTCATATGATATATTTTAAACTCTCTCCAGAAAAAATGTCGTTAAGCGGTTTGTTAATTGAGTGCGTCAATAAGCCAGGATGTATAGTTGCTATGCTGTCCAGCACAACATAGGAAACTGAAATTATCAACTTATTTAGTCAAATCAATATCTCCCAGGGGGGACAGACGTATTTCTAATATTAATGGATTCATAAACGTAGCTTGAGTTTGGCTGAGCGATAGCTAAACAAAGTCATATGGTGTGACATAACCGCTCTCTAATACCTGAATGTTCCTTTTCCTTATGTATATATATATATATATATATATATAATAATATATATATAATATAATAATATAATATATAATATAATAATATAATTGCAAACTATATAGAATCAATAGATAAAAAGGGGTATATTCAGGATGAAATAGTGAAATTCAATTAAAGTTGGCAAACGTATGTGAGTTAAACTGGAAGGAATGAACGCTACTAGTGAAATTTTCCTTTCTTAGAAACAATATTCGGTTTATGCAATTAATATCTTGCAATAATAGTCATATCAAATGCAATTCCATGGGCAGAGTTTTTTAACTTTTAACTCAGTGCGTAGCAATAGCAAAAATAGTAACAGCACGAGAGATTTAAAATAAAACAATAGTTTAATAAAACAAAATACTCACCCCAGAACTGCTTCCTTTCCGTCGAACAAGATCCCTGATCAGAATATTATATGGGAAATAGATTCTCCTTACGATACTCATATTTGCAGAAAGTAGTACACGATTATCTGAAATCGTGAACACTGGTGAACATCTTATCAGTATGAAAAAAAACACTACTTATCATAGATAAGTAAAACGGTGCAATATTTTACAGAAGTTAGAACAGGTAAAATGCGAACAATTAAAGTATAGGGCAGTCATTGCGTTTCAATGCAACTAAATAAGGCACATTTGATGGGAATAACAGTGACTAATGGTAAATTGGACACCATTCGGAGGGGTCTTAAACTTACCGACCAATGGATTGATAGGGAAACAAGGTGAAAAGGTAAAGGAACAGGAAAACCGATCTGAGAGGAAACAGTTTTCGCAAACTGTATATGGTTCATGAAAAATGATGGAGTTGGCAATATTACCTTAGTAATTGTTTCGTGAGTTTACAATCATTCTCAAATATTAAAGGTAATTTATAAGCTATAAGTTACCTTACTCTTAGTAATTAAGGAGCCGTAGCCAGATTTCCCGTTCTCGATCACTTCCAACACCAATAACCGATACTGATTTCAATCTTAAAAGTCCAGCTCAGAATCGAATCGACCATATATTCAATGGTCATAAATGATCTTAGAAACTTCAACAGCTTTTATCAAAATAAGATATAAATTATAATTACTAACAAAAACCCTCATAAACTCGCTTTCACCTCTGGCATTAAAATGACTACACCACAATCAATAAAAACAAGCACGCGTTACCATGAGCAGAATTGGAGCATACAAGGATCACAGTCTTTATTAAAATAATATGATAAAAACAGAATATTTCAAATACAATAGCAATGAACTCAACATAAGGGATTTTTTAAACAAATAAGTTAGAGAAAGAGATTTAAATGGTCGTCAATTTGGGATTATATAATAATCGGCTTCTCCCGCCCGGAGAACGAGAATATTTCTTCTGATATGAAGTGAATGGGTAGAAGAAGAACGAACAAAGCGAGAGAATAGGAGACGAGTGGAAGAGGAGGTGTGCTGTAATATTCAGGGGGAGAAAGGAGACGTTTGGGTGGTGGCCACAACCACAAACCCCGACGCAGAGCATCACGCATTTGATGGGAAACCCAAGCAAATATAATAACCCATCCAGCCACCAGAACCGGACGAGGTGGATAAGACAAAGGTGAGCAAAAATGTCGACCTATGTAGTCACCGATTAGGAGGAGGACAAGTAATAACACCGGACCTCCTGTCCAGTGGAGGAACGGGCGCCCAGGTAGAGATCGAGCAGCCTTAATGGAAAATACTGGTAAATCCATTTAAAACCTACCACACAAATAGAGGATATCGTTGGTAATACTTAGATTTCAAATGAGTTTAACATGAAAAAGAGCCTGGAAATCGTTAATGAGCATTTTAGTAAAAGATTAACTAATACTCATGGGGTGCGCGATAGACTTATCTCCACGTAATGCAACCTGGGCAATGTATACTCATACGGTAAAAAAGTCTATTGACAGGTAGTTGACTTCTGACTTCAAACTACTATGACCCCACTACATGTCATATTCCATCAATTCCACCGTATTCTCCTTACCTTTTCTCTGTCTCTTTTACATCTGTGGATCACTTTTCTCTTCCCCTCACTCGAATTTTTCCCAATATGATGTTTCTCTCCTCTGTGAAGTCCGAGGTCTGCTAAAGGGCTAATGATAACAATCAAGACGCCTGCCGTTTGAAATAAACAAATACTCATAACTCCGATGATCACCACACACGCAACTTTTGCTGGTGGAAAGGCCTCTCATACCAGTTATTCATTCCAGTAACTGGATTTTAAATTATCAACGCCAACTTTGAAATGGAGTTAAAATAAATATCGATTTATTTAGTTCGGTCAATGCCCCAAATTAGAAGGATGGCGGTCAAAATAAGACCTTAGAAGAATATTTGTGTATTTGTATCAAATGGCAGGCATCTTGATGGTTATCATTAGCCCTTTAGTTGCCTTCAGGCTTCACAGAGGGGAAGGAACATCAACTTGAAAAAAGTCGAGAGGGGGAAGAGAGGAGTGTTTCAAAGATGTAAGAGACGAATACAAAGGTAGAACAAAGGTGAGGTGAGTATTGCGGAAATAGTCGAATATGGCATAGAGTGGGGGTGATGTAGTTTGAAGTGAGAAGTCAACTGTCAGTTAACAGACTTTTTTGACGTATGAGTATACGTTGCCCAGGGTGCACCACGTGGAGGTAAGTCTATCGCACACCCCCCTTAGAAGAATATAAATCTAGGTATTATTGCTAAACCGCATTTTTGATTCATAAAACAATTGATCATAGTCACATGCTATTATAAGATAAGTTTAGAACAACAAATGAGGTTAACCAAGGTTGTGAAAGCAAAACTGTGATACAGTTAAATAAAAAAACTACATTATTGTTAAAGGTAAGTTGACAATTAAATCAGCAAAGCTTTAACTTTATAAATCTATTTGATACCATCAGATCAAATCAGGAGAAATGAAGAACAATTTAAAATGTATTGACCTAGTGACTATCGTTAATCCACCTACAGTGGCAATATTTGACCTGTATTAATATTAATGAATTAATCTACAGGGAATTTAGTGACTCAATTAACATTAGATAACGTATATGAAACTCTCTCTCTCCCCCTCTCGTCGAGGGATTCTGAATATGCCCATGTAATCTACCTACTACGGGTTAAGCGGAGTTAGAGGTACTCAGCCATATTAAATTTAATTGCAACAACTACGAAATGAGAATACGAAGATTTGGATTAAGGGAATAAACAACAGTCTTGTCGATTATTTAAAAGCGAAGATCAATCTTAGTCAACACAGAAAGCCACTCAACTACCGTAACCTCTAGTCATTATGGTAATAATACATTCATGCGATTTGCAAACGGTACTGTTCTAGAATGATATAATCAGAAAATGGAAGTAGTGTTTGGGTTGCTTGTTTGTTCGCTTATATACACCCAATCCCATTAATGACCAACTTCAAAAGGTTAGGTCTGGGCAACAATAGGAGCGATGCACTCGATTCAAGGAAAGCTTTAACAACACCTTTCTCGGTAAGTGTACTGTATTATTAGATAAGTTTCTTCAGAATTTATCTTTAATAACTATCCAAAGTGGTGAAAGGTCCTGAACTTATACCGTAGTGGAATGAATTTCATACATCGCAGCTTAATTAAGAGTCATTAAACAAATAATGATTTCTATAGAAGCATAAACAATACGCACCTTAATAGAGAAACTTCCAGCGGCAATGAAATGATCAATATCAACAGTAATAGCAGCAAGAGAAGCCAAGCAAGTGGAAATAATCATCAGTCGATATGATTTAGGCTCAGGTACTTCAAGGGAGGCAACCAGCCAGAAGCTAGCTCCAGTGAAGGCATGAGCCACCGTCTCGATCAGTAGAACCATCCATTTCAGGTGTTCATGTGATTCAAGTACCTGAGAAGTCAGCTTCACAAAAAATTCCAGTAGGTAGAGAACAGCTGTAACCACAGCTATAACAGCAGTGGTAAAAGGTAATCTGCCCACCGTTAGGTTGTGTGGATAATTGATCTTAAATCAAGAGCAAGACCATGACTAATCACTATTGAAAATTCAGAAATCTTAAAATAGAAAGTGGGCAGGCTTATATACAGTTTATTTTACAATTTAGCAATACACATTAACTTTCGTCAGGTAAAGGAATTTCCCTAGCCAATTCACTGCCAGCTTCATCAAAGATCCGGTTCAGGGGTTCATTATCCTCTCCATATTGGATGCATTGATCAATCACAAAGAGCAAATCCTCTATAGTTTCCTCCTCTTCTTTGTTTAGAGGTTGGAAACGAACTAAACTGTAGCGGTTGATTAAGTCGGCTAATATGGATGATAGATTGGCAAATTTTCGCGGCCGTTTGGATGCCGTTGAGATGCCTTCTTTACTTTCTTGCTCAGAGGATTCGCACAAATCTTCGACGTCGGGTTCGAGATATCGAGCACACACTAGCTTCTGTTGGCTTTCAGAGAGCATATCCATCTTAGTCATAACGTTGACATGTGGCGTGCGAAGGCAAACCATGGCAGAGAGAGCAGAAAGAATTCCCGAAAGGAAATGTGAACCATCAACTAGGAACCGAGCATCAAGAATAAACACACTAACGATATGAAAATCCCACTTCCGTTGGAGGTGTTCTATAATTTGTGGGAAGATATTGAGATGAGAATAGAGTTCGATTTGACCGGGGCAGTCGAAAAGAATGTAATCCAACTCATCATCCCCAATCATATCATCGATCCAACCAAGCTCCGTGCAAAGCTGTTCCATACAAAATATTAGGCCACCGTTGGGTCCCATGTTTATGCATTCCATCACATCGTCAACCTATATGAAAAATAATAAAAATTAAGACAAAACCGATAACTTGCCTGAATAAATTCCCTAATATCCGATGTTGGAGTGTAGGCGAAATATTCCGCAGCAGGGTCTAGATTAATTACTTTACAGGAGCGGCGAACGCTTTCGAAGTGCTTTTGGATCGTTGCACAGTATGTAGATTTGCCACAACCAGCAGGACCCACGACAAACTGAGCGTACCTTGGCATACTTTCTGAGAAGTCTGAAGTCAATTAAAGGGCTAATGACAACAATAAAAACGCCTGCCATTTGAAATAAATAAATATCCGGACAGATTGTGACATAAAATGGATGCTTCAATGTTGGAACAGAAAGAACACAAAATTTCACGGTAAAAGACGTCAAAAATTATCCATAAAATCAAAAATATAGAAATAACTGAAATACTTAATGGAACCAAGACGAAGTTATAAAAAATATGATGAATGCATTGACAAATTACAGACTCACTACACAAGATAAATAGAATAAATTTGTGCCTTAATAAATGAGTGGAATAAACAAAATATTATTAAATGCCACAATACCAAAAAGACAGTTAACATTTAATTATTTTATTTTAATTTTCTGATTTATTTATAATTTCATTTAACTCTTTTGGTTAGTATGTGTATACTAGGTAGAGTTTATTTGTCTAGACTATTTACAGGACAATTTACAAGCTCTTTGACAGTCTTTATAGCCATCATATTTACGGTAATTATATATTTTATAAACGAAGCCAATTTTTAGCTTAATCTGTTTTAAAATGTACCTATAATAAATGAGAACACGTTATTTTGTATAACTGAAAAATGATCCTATAGAACACCGAAAATTCATACTAGATACTAATCGAATTAATATTTGTGCGTGAACGTATACCCACGAATAAGCATATCGATACGCTGGTTTTTGATAACCAGCTAGATGTACGCACAAAGCACGTAGTAAGATCTTTTGCTATAACTGTGTATAATATCGAAATGACGATGAATTAACTTTTTAATCCAGATCAATGTCTCTAAAAGAAACAAAGATTGAATTTAAAGACAAAATATATTTCATTAACCATTCCAAATCAAACTACCAAGTGGTGAAACCGCTTTAAATATTTTTGTATAAAATAGTAGAAATTGAAAAAAGATAGGTTATTACATTATTGCATCGTTGGATGATACCATTTTTTGACAAAACCTAACCAAGAGGTTTCCAACTATTTAGTTATACCATTAAATATAAGTCTTCAAATACACAACAAAAGGGGAAATATTTACATATTCAATGCTTAGTATTTATTTATATCAAATTGCAGGCGTTATGATAGTTACCAGTAGCCCTTTAGTTGACTTCAGGCTTCACAGAGGGGAAGAAAAATCAAAGTGAAAAAAGGCGAGAGGAGGGGGGGGGGGAGGAGAAGGAAGAGAAGAGTATTTCAAAGATGTAAAGGAAACAGACGCAAAGGAAAAAAGTGAGGTGATTACTGTGGAAGTAGTGGAATATGACATAGAGTGGGGCGATGGTAGTTTGAAGTGAGGAGTCAACTGCCAGTTAATAGACTTTTTGCCGTATGTGCATACGTTGCCCAGGGTGCACCACGTGGAGGTAAGTCTATCACACACCCCAAACCAAAACTTGTTCCTAAGTCCAAACATTATTTGCCAAATTAGGAGACCGATTGTCAAGGTGATATATGTGTAATTTAGAGTGAATGTTCAAGTAAAGATGTTATTGTTTTCCGAACCTGAGGATCCAGTCCGTAATGCCCTCAATTTTAACTAAACTTACCATATATCTATTGACTTCTAAATGACTATTTCAGTTGGCTACTATATAATTACTTCACAGACATTTGAAAGAGTGTAAAAGCACCCTTTAAGTTCAAATTACAGTTTAGTGCTAAGAAGATAATTGCATCGAAATAGAATTAGATATGGAATAGATTAATGACTGACTGAGAAAATTGCCAATGATTTATTTTTCAATGGTGGTCTTATGTATTCACGACGGAGCTTAGAATCATGAAAATTAATAGTTTTAGAATGGGTAGAGAAATCATTGTTGAGTTATGAACAATTAACTGTTTATCCTCTCATGAAAATTGTCAAATTGTCTTCTGCTACACATTTTTGAGATGTCGGAATCCCAGATCTTTCTCCAGTTCAACTCACTTTGGATGATGGGATATTTGCACGATGCATCTTGTTAGTTAGAAGCAAGACCAAAACTTTTTATTATTATATCAAATGGCAGGTGTTTTGATGGTTATCATTAGCCCTTTAATTGACTTCATGCTTCACAGAGGGGAAGGAACACCAAAGTGTAAAAAATTCAAGAGGAGGAGGGGGATAGAAGAGTGTATCAAGGACGAAGGTAGATAAGGTGGAAAAAGGTGAGATGAGTACCGTGAGGTAGTCGAATATGACATACAGTGGGGTCATGATAGTTTGAAGTCAGAAACTGCCAGGTAATAGACTTTTTTGCCGTATGGGTATACGTTGTCCAGGGTGCACCACGTGGAGGTAAGACTATCACACACCCCAGACCAAAACTTGTTCCTAAGTCCAAACATTCTTTGCCAAGTTAGAAGACCGATTGTCAAGGTAATAAATTTGACGGTCCTTGAGGGCAGGTGAAAAGTGGTGCTTTTCTGCATTTAGGCCATTTGTCCCGCTACCTCTAAAGTTGCTATGGTATCCTGGTACCAAGCTTTACCTAACCTCCTAAAGTACCTAAGGAATACCGTACTCAATTGCAAAAATATGTTTCACACTACTATAGCAGTAAAAAGGCAAGAAAATTACAATCGAAATCAAGAAAGAAGATTTTACAGAATAAAAATTTTTATACAAAAAAAGTAAATTGCACAATAACGTCGAAATAGATCAGGTGGTTCGATTATCAAAGGATGATGCCTATGCCGTTCGAACATTTGTGCTATAATGATCAAGTCTAATGAGTGCAGTTTGTGAATCGTCAGATGCAGCACTGCCACTACGACTGAGAGCAGTTCGAAGAAGAGCGTTATCAACAACCCCACTAGTTCCAGGAGTAGCTTCTACTTGAATAGTTTTCTTCATCTTAATAAACTCTAGAGAAGAAGGCGAGACTACATCTTGGTGGCCACTAGTTCTTGTTGATGAGGATGCCTTCGATCGACGCTTATGAGCCCTTAAAGAGGATGATTTGCTGGGAGAGTCGACCACTATCGGAGTATCCGCTTTAACCACCACACTAAATATATCATATATTACAAACGACAAATTCAAGCACATACGATTTCAGAAATTGGTCGTGGATTTCCAAAAACTTCAAGTAATCAACATCAGTATAAGCCTAAATGTGTCAAAATAAAAGCGGTTTTCCTACACCCGGATCATGCCTCGCGCGATTATATAATTCGCAGTATGCTTCCACAAGTTCTTGATTGGGCTTGGGAAGCACGGCTTCTGAGGAAGCACTCATGAGGAAATCACGAATACTTCGGACAGGTGGTGCTTCAAAATGTGGATACGATTTCAAAATTTTTTCCTCTGAGAAACTAAGAAACTGATGAACACTTACTCAAATCAATAAATAAATCAACGGTCTTGGCACGGAATTGAAATCCGAGATTTCCTAAAGAAGATATGAGCGATCAGGCGATATTACTTTCGGAGGCATCATTCAGAAGGTCAGATTTTGAAGAACCAAATACTCTGGGTTCAGTACGAACCTTTACTGTCGAATTTATTTGGGAAATTATTAACTGTTTCCAAAACTATATAAACTCCGACATTATGTTTGAAAATCCAAACCTTTGGAGCACCACTTCCAATAGCAGTATAAACAATGCGACCGATACGACTTTTGCGACGTGCAATACTCCGTTTAATAACTATGAAAATTCCAATAAGAATATTGCTGCCTATAGCCACTAGCACCAAAAACAGCGATAATGCTATTGTCTGCCCGGGCATCAAAACCGTTTCGAATGCACGCGGTTTTGGTGATCAAATAAAAGGTTTGTAAATTACCTGTTCGTAATAACATGATATTTTGCCATAGAAAACACCGAAATATAACTGCAAAAAAACTTTTAAGTTCTATTTAAACTATAGATATTATTATTTTAGTGTTTTAAGAAGTAACCATATATAATTTGTGTATATTATTAATTTATTGCCAATCGATTTTTTATTATCATGGATTTAATACGATACTTTGGCCTATAAATATTACAAATATATATATATATATATTAGTAACAAGGCTTAATTTCCTGCTATTTACCAATATATAAGCGTTATACTTTGCAATGGTTAGTGACTGAGATGTCATAATATGTCATATTCCTTTTTTTCTACTACTCGTTTTCATTTTTCGATCTAAACATTTAGTGAAAAATGTTTGATACCCGTAATTTTAAATGTGTTTACTTATCATCTTGGGGCCTGCAACCTGGGACACTTCATCACGGGCGTGCACACTAGGCTTAAGGTGCGGCCCTGCAACCTCGTACACGGATTGGTTTCGGAGAAGCACAGCCAATGACCGATAGAAATCCTGTTACAGAACACTTCTCAAAGATATTTAGCTATTAATGTTCACTCGATTTATGCTAGATTTATCTGATAACTAATCGTTTTGCCAAAATCACAATTCGCTATCAATATACGTACTGAATAAACGTGCTCCGTACACGTCTGTTTCCCTTATAGCTGGGTTATAGCTTAGCTTGTTCTGGGAGTCTAGCTAGATGTTGGAGAATCTGCCATAGAGATTTCTGAGTCGGTCAGGCTTTACTAGCGTAGCGATCCGCTACAAATGTATACTCATATGACAAAATAATCAGATGTTGACTTTTCACTTCAAAATACCATGACCACACTGTAGTCATATTCCACCATCTCCACAGTACTCGCCGTACTTTTCTCTACCATTGTGTCTGTCTGTCTGTCTCTTTTACATCTGTGAATCACTCTTCATTTCCCCTGTCGAATGTCTGTCTGTCTCTTTTACATCTGTGAATCACTCTTCTGCTCCTCCCCTTTGTGAATCCCGAAGTTAGCTAAAGGACTAATGGTAATTTCCATAAAAACCCCATCCATTCGATATAAATAACTATTTTCATCTCGTGATCAACTTAACTATACTATCACTGTTTCCATTACTAATTAACCATTTATGGGAATTTAAGACAATAATTCAGAGTTTAACGTAAATATTCGTCGAATCATCACTGTCTTATCATTGAACGAGAATTCTATACTGAAAGGAATTGGATGCTTATTCCAATTCGATATCTGATTTCCAATTTGATTGATTGATCTGAGCATTAAATAAGACTTTGAAAATCTTATTGCATCAACTGCGTCCTTCCGAATTGATTTCATTTTTTCATTCTGCCTCAGTTTATGTTTCAAATTAGATCTCCTTGCCGTCAAGGAATCTATATCCACTCGAATACAATTAATCCCTATACGTATCAATAAGAGGCATGTACCCAATGTGGTCATATTAGAACTGGTATGGCCTTATGGTCTACAAATAAATAGAACAGAAAAGCACAGATGGTGCACCACGATAAATCGATACGACTTATCTTCGTTATTTTTTCATTCACGGTTTTTTTTTACTTTTCCATCAATATCCTAGTCCCATTTCTTTTTACTCAAAGGAAATCTTCTTCCCATTGCCAATGTCACCTAATAAAAGTGCGAATCAACAGCGCAAATGTCAATTTTAAAGCTTTTAGGTCTCGGGTATATAACGAGTTCTGTAAAATTGTAATCGGAATGTTAATAATTAAATTTCACCAGGCAATATATAAAATGTGATGTCTCAATATTTACTTATTTCAAACGGCACACGTTTTGACAGTCATCATAAGCTCTTAAGCTGACTTCGGGATTCGCAGAGGGGAGGAGGAACATTAAAGTGACCAAAAGTGGAGAGGTGAAAGGAAGAGTGATTCACAGATGTTAAAGAAACAGTCAGACACAAGGGTAGAGAAAAGGCAAGGTGAGTACTATGGAAGTGGTGGAATATGACATATAGTGGGGTCATGGTAATCTGAAGTCAACTGCTGGGTCATAGGCGAAACCGAAATAGAAACAGCAGTAGTAGGAGTAGTAGACTTAAAGGTGAGTGTGCTTATCTCGTAATAGGTCTAAAAATCACTTGGGTAGACCCAGTCTCCACAAAATATGCACATATATCCCTTGAGGTGTCTAGAATGAAGGTACATAAATCTTTCCTGTTATAGAAGGTCATGTCAAGGGAGAGCTCTCCCTTCAAATCCCTTATCAAGCAATTCACATGGGTTTCATTGGTCTTCATCATGCCACCTGGGAATTGTCACTGTGCGTCATTGATAAATCTCTTCCTAGTAGGCAATGTCTAGAATTCGCATCCTCAATGACATCTATGACAATGGGGTGTAGAACATCTGTGCCTCATGTATTCTTCAAACTTCGTTTGCCAAATGCCTGTATCTCCGAATGACAGCAAAGTAGGGAACCGTTTGAAAACTACTAGAAAGCAGAAGCACCAAATTGATCAATTGGTCAATATGACGCTGGTGAGTTGGTGGTGGAAATGATCACTAACAAATTCACTTACCCAATTCGTAGAACGTCTTATCACTGATCCACACATGGCCACTATTATAATCGAACCGACCTACGTACTCCCAAAAGGCTTTGCGAAGCCCGTTGAAGACAGCATTTGAATTCACATTGGAATCACGTATAGATATTGGCGAGAGGAATGTCGTGGCTCTCCTATTAGTATAATGTAGTGTCAATGAATGAGCCAGTCCAACTTACCCCAAGACGGCTTTTAATATTTCCTCTGCCTAACGTAGATCCCGAATCTCATTGGCTATATGTCTGCAGCTCGGAATGGCAGCCAAGCACGGCAGGCTCATGAAAACATGCGCGTACATCCCTTGAGGTGTCTGTGATGAGGACGCATGTGCCCTCCCACATATGGGAAGTAAAGTCAAATGAGAGCTCGTCTTTTAGCTCAAATATCAAGCTTTTGCCGCATGATTCATTGAGCGCCATATCGCCATCGGGTAATCGGCATCTTGAGCTATAGATGCGCCATCGCTGCAGGCAATCCAATATAAAATATGGCAACATATGCACAATGATATGGCTATAAAAATTTTTGCAGCATCAATTAGGCTTGAGCTCTCCATACAATCTTTGATGGCAAAGTTTCCCGGTGTGTTAAGGCAACCAGATTTTGCTAACCTTACTCCAGGATTGACTTATAGTGAGTAAAGCCTTTATTGAATTTTATGACCACGGAAAATACGATTCATATTTGCAATAAATTTAACTTAATTTGAATGAATATTCATATGCGATTGGCTAAGAAGACCACTGCTCACACTATCTCAGTTTAATTGAGTTAGAATTGCTTAATGGGCAGAAGTGTTTGTGGTAAAACGATACAGATCCCGTGGAATGGACACTGTGAGTATTTTCATATTGAAGACCTTCACTTTCGCTCTATTGAAACGTTGTCACAGACGAAGACCCTACAAGTGGAAAACTAGAAACCTTAGCAATAATCTACTCACTTTGTGAGTTCCTCTTCTGGGTCGCACCTCCAAATTTCGAGTCAACATATTGTTTGGAAGTTTCCGACACCTCTTCCTCCTCTAAATAAGATCTATTCACTACTCCTCCCCAAACCTCACACTGATACTGTGCAAGTAGTTGATACAATTTGGACTTCATCCGATGTATTGGTGTCATCCGGAAACTGCTCAACTTTCCTTGCCTTATTAAGGATTGCTAACTTCTTCAGATATCGAGTGAATGAGGCTTATGCTTTGGATGGTGAGTCATCTCACTCACATTGATTTCCTAGCTCCTACTTGGTTTGAATGTCACTTGAATGGAATTGAAATCGGGAAAATTTGAATCACACTTTTAATCCTGCTTACGAAAATACATATTGCTCACAAATGGGGTCTGGGTAGTCCAAAGATAGTTTATAGATATGAATAAACTCACTCAAAAAAAGTACAATTAATACCTAATTCCTCTCTTTATAAACATACCCTCCATCACCATCACCATTTTGATTGACCTTTCCGAGGGGTCTCAAAATCAAAGTGGCCTTATGTCTCACCACACAGAACCGACACTCCGGTTGAACATATTGGAACTGAGTTTCATTGTTATTCTATTTAGGATATAGTACAACAAGGTAGAATTCAATTCAATTTTAAGCTATTTTCAGCCAATGGCTTAAATTTAAGCAAACCTTTGAACCACATTACTAAACGTAATCATCGCCTTGAATAGGATATCAATTTTTCATGGTGTCAAGTGTGAAAACTAATTTGTATTGCGCTCCAATGAAATGACCA